GGGGGGGTTACAACTTACAACCGATCAGACAGATAATCCGTTAGAGAAAACAAGTTCCACACAAAGTGACGAATCGAACTGACAACTGCGTGCAAAGGCGAGGAGCCTAAACGTTACTTACTGTAAATTAGACAACAGTCGCGGCAGCGGCGATGAAGTGATGAGCCGACTAGTTAGTTTAATCCTTTCAGTAATTGCTATGTGTTTAGTTAGATCTAGATTTTAAAATCTTTTCAGCACAGAGTTGAAGCGTATCATCATTGTTTGTACAGACGTGTGTTTCTCTCGGTAAGACATAAACAAAGCTAGTATATTATTCTTTATATTTTCCCTCAGTAGCAATGAGCAACTGTACGTAGTAACTACTGTACTACATCTTCCAAAACGTTCTCATGACATCCGGGGAAAACTCATGGTGGTGATCCCGTTTGGGATGTCACACACGTCTGTGCCTGTTTGAGTAAATAATGTTTGCTTGTTTGAGTAGGTGTTTTACGGCACTATCGACTTTGAGTAAAGAGAAGTACGTGGTCACAATAATGGTCATATCAGTGCTGGGAAAAGGTAAGACTGGCAGAGAGAAACAAACAGAGGGAAAGTAAAAGAGTAGGACCCACTAGCGGCGCCCTCTAACCTCACGCACGTCTAGATCTAGTCTGTAGTTAAGTGATCCGTTGTAGAATAAAACATGGGGAGGACTTCCGTAACGAGCGACCACTATGAGACAGGGCAGAATTGAGGGCTTGGGGTAAGGGTAGGGGTAGGGGTAGGGGTAAGGGTAGGGGTAGGGGTAGGGGTAAGGGTAGGGGTAGGGGTAAGGGTGGGGTTAGGGTTAGGATAGGCCTCTTCTTTATTGTGTTTCGTGAGTTTTTTAAAGTTTTAGTAGAGGTTTTACGGTGCTCGCAACTGCATAAGGTTATATGAGCGCCAGAAGATTAGAGGTGTTACAAGAGAGTAACAAACATAAAAAAGAAGGAGGAGAGATAAGGACGATAGATGCTTGATAGGAAAGAAGAAGCAAACCACACCAGAGCACCCGCCAACCACCAACACATGACAGTTTCATCATGATGATAAGAAGAATGTGTACTCACTTAGGCAAGGCAGACGAGGTCAATAACGTCTGACGGAGACAAAGTTAGGCATCCACGGGTACAGAACTAAGTGCGAGTCCTTGCAGCAGTCGTAGTTGTTGTCGTAGTTGTAGTCGTTATTCAAGTCCAGGACGTAGTTGAGTGGTTCAAACAGGGACAGGAGGGATAAGTTCACCAACCTACGAGCACAGGACAAGAAATAGAGACGTTAGTCAGTCATGGAGGGCCGGTCGGAATGAGAGAAACAAAACACAGAGAGCATGTGGCAAGAAAGGATAATGATTTTTGGTTTGTTCTGTCCCCTCCACACAGCTTGAACAGTTTTCAAAGCAGATTTTCGTGGCCAGGCTCAGTGAAAGACCAACTCACGTGAGAGTCAAGTCGGACAAGAGGCCAAAAAGAAGAACAGCCCACACAAGAGACAATTTATCGTCAGCCATAAAGAACTGAAAACAATGAGTTCTAAAGAAACCGAGCAATCTTCCGTCTGTAAAGTGATTTCTATTGAGTGGTCACAGCGACAAAACCTGTGTACATTACTATAGTGAACTTAGTTCATCAGTGTCCCCAGCCACATTCACTTCAAAGCTTCTCACTACACCCTACAAAAACAGCATTTACTTTTGTTTACTATTGTCAAATTATGTGAGCTTTCAAAAGGACTATAAATCAGCTCTTTCACCTTTTTTTAAACGAAAGAAAAAAAAAAGCCTTGAATGAAAAGACGTAAACTCTTTTTTGTCACAAAGTCTTGCATCCAACATGAGTTGCGCCTTGAAATGCATCTTTCTCATTCATAAAAAAAACAACCAAGAAAAACGTGAGGTATGATATGGAGACCTCCCTCCCACCCCCCAAAAAT